AAAAACAAGCCTTATAAACCAATGGCAGAGTAAATGGACAGAGACAACACAAAAACTCACACCAATTAAACCGAATGTAAGGAGATGGAAACAAAGGCTATCCAACAGGAAATATGATGTGACCCTAACACGACTACGCCTGGGCCACACCAAGCTCACCCACAAACACCTGCTACAAAAGGCAGAAACACCCCAATGCGAAAAATGCAACGTGGACTTGACGATAAAGCACCTACTGATCGATTGCCCTCACTACCAGAACACAAGAACAGCAACGCACCTGCCGGACGCACTGGAAGTGGCACTGAATCCGGAGAAGACTGACGGAAGAACAGTAATTGCTTTTCTGGACGGAATACAAATGACCAAACAAATATAGTGTACTTATCTAACATAACTGTATTCTGTAATTTTCACTGTACTATAGTAATCAAATGTAGGTATATTAACTAAATGTAAATGGGTGTCAATAACCCTGGCAGTTGAGGTAGCTCCCAATAAATTCTAAAAAAAAAACCAAAATAATTAATGCAAGAAGATGATATTGAGATTGGAGCAAACGGAGCAGGTTTACCTGAATTATAGAAAAGTTTCAAATCCATCTAAATAATTTTAAAATTGTAGTTTATATTATGGTACGAAAGGGCGTGATCTCCTTTTTGAGGGTGCTTCTGACGCATCACTAACAATTAATTTATTGTATCATAATAATCATTACAATGTAATAACCTCACTAACGTCTGCCTTGTTATGCCGGTATTTTTGCGATAAGTGTCACGTGGGCTATAATAATAAATTCGTTCACAAATGTGCCGTACGACAGCAAATCCTAAAATTTTCCGATGTTATTGAGAGATTTGTTCATTATTTTAGAAATAAAAAGAAGGTTCAAACGCGTCATCGTTTTGGTTCATAATAGGCAGGCGTATGATCACCAATTTATTTTAAATTATATTTTAACCAAAACTCAATTTAAAACCTGAGATGATTATGCGGGGATCTAAAATTATTTCTATGTATATCGATAATGTCACATTTTTGGATTCGTTAAACTATTTTCCAGTGGCTCTATCGAAACTACGCAAAGCATTTGGTTTGAATGATAACTTTCAAAAGGGTTATTTCCCATATCATTTTAATACACTTGAAAATCAATGTTACACAGGACCTTATCCTGATATGCAGTACTATGGGCCAGATTCTATGATGGCAGACGATCGAGAAAAATACATTCTTTGGTATAATGAAAACAAACAATGCGTTTGATATGCAAAAAGAAATTATCTCGTCCTGTGTATCATATGTAAATATTCTAACATTGGCATTTGGCCCGTATGAATAAAAGTAAGCAAATGCTTATACTTGCAAAATTCAAAGTAAATACTCGTAAGTGCCCCTTTATACTGGTTTGTTTAGCAGCGCTGCACTGCGTCCTGTCCTTCTGCTTAGCAGCGCTGCTAAATCGACCAGTGCGAAGGAGCATTTACGAGTATTTACTTTGAATTTTGCAAGTATAAGCATTTGCTTACTTTTATTCATACGGGCCAAATGCCAATGTTAGAATATTTACATATGATACACAGGACGAGATAATTTCTTTTTGCATATCAAACGCATTGTTTGTTTTCATTATACCAAAGAATGTATTTTTCTCGATCGTCTGCCATCATAGAATCTGGCCCATAGTACTGCATATCAGGATAAGGTCCTGTGTAACATTGATTTTCAAGTGTATTAAAATGATATGGGAAATAACCCTTTTGACGGGTCATTGGCTTGTTTAAAATCCAGAGGTTCGTTAATTAAAGCGGGGAACGTATGTCCATTTTCAGAAGCTTGCACTATTGCCAGCTCCCGTAATAAACTGTTTCGACGAAACTTTTTGAAACCGGATACTATTGGTTTGATTCCGAGACATGGGTATCGTTATAGAGATAAACAACCAAAGATAGCAATTGAGTGGTTCATATGGGAGGTAAAAGTAAGAGAAATTAACATCTTGCACGCTGATAAAGGGAAGGAAATGGTACTAGCTGGTTTATCCGTCGATGGGTATTGCACAGAAACAAATCAAGTCTTCGAAATGATGGGGTGTTTCTACCACGGATGCACACAATGTTTTAAAAACGATCGTGATAAACCTGTATATAATAACAGCGACCAGACAATGAATCTAAGATACCCGTTCGAAGATCGATCAGTTACGAGGTCATAGTGAAATGAGAATGCAAATTTAATCAAGAGGAAAAACTCCGATATGGCTCTGTACATATTTGGCCACCTATTAATCAATGTTGCCCCTTTAAATGCGAGAGATAGTTTTTACGGAGGTCGAACTGGAAACATCAAGTCTTATTACAAAGTGAAAGACGGGGAAAAAATAAAATATATTGATTATTGATATCTGTTCATTGTACCCCTGGGTTTGCAAGTATGGAAAATTTCCGCTAGGACACCCTAAAGTTTTACTCTCAAATGACTTGATCGATCTAGATGTTACCAAAGTAGACGGCATCGTTAAATGTTAAAGCTTTAGAAAAAGGTATCAAGTTCTACAAATCTACGAAGTTTGGGTTTATAAAACCGAACAATATGATGGGAAGTCAGGGGGATTATTTACAGAAATTATGAATAAATTTATCAAAATTAAACTGGAAGCGAGTGGATGGCCTTCGAACTGTAAAACTTTCGAACAGAAAATTGCATATTGTAATCAGGGGTATTTGAAAGAACAACAAGGGAAGTCACTATTAATTAAATGGGAGCTAATTGTTGGTCAGAACTCATAATTAAGATGCGACAAATCTACTGTAAACTCACCTTTCATTAGAAACGTCCGTTTGTAATCTGCGAATAAGGGTTGGCATGGCAGCATTCAGTCTGACTGGTCGTCTTCCGCGCTCAAGGATCATGTAAACAAACATCGCGACTGCTTAACCGCCATCCTCGCCAATGAATTAGGTAACTCACCGGGAGGCGTTAGCCCCGAGCTGGCGCTAAGCTCTCCTGGATCTCCGAACACTCCGGTGGGCGATTGGGGTTGAATGCGTCGTTGAAGATGATTTCCTGAAGGGTTAAGATGGAGCTCATACCTATTTGGGTATTATTTAAGATACAAATCCCGCCTCGGCCCTCTGACTAGGACCCTCGGTCAATAGATCAGTACCGTCAATCTATGTCGCTCATTGCTCTACTTGCGTACACACCTGCAAGTCGAGCTCACCCGCGAACTCTTTTTGTTAACAATGAGGTCTTTATTTTTTGTATTGGGTCGACACCATTAGTACGTCGGGTACATGGCTAGAATAGGGAAAATACTGCACTTTTTGATTGGAATATGCCACTTTCTGTGGTAATCGTTAATACCAAAAGGCAACTTTTGAGATAGGGAGCCATTCGAAAATCCGTGCAGGAAACCAAAATGGTGGCCGTCAAAATGGCGCCATTAGCCGCAATATATTTTTTTGTATCTCTGCTCCTAATAGTCCGATTTTAATTTTCTTTTTTTTTTATTGAAAGCTCTTGTGACGAGGAAACTTTTTAGTTATTAACATTTAGCACAATTTTAAAAAAGTGTTTTTTTTACGAATTTGAATCACAAGTAAGCTCTTAATTGTGCAATAACCCGATCTTTTCGACAAAAAAGGCCATCGTTTAGAAATTAAATCGATACAACCCCAAAACTCCTTGTATCTACCCTGCAAGTTCTGAAAATTTCAATCCGCCATGTTTTTTTTTTGAAAAAATGCGCGATATTTGTTTCATCAGGCACGAGATCAAGCATTATGAAAATTGAAAGGAAAAGCCTCGTCAATTTTTTTCTCTGAAAAACAGAAAATACATTCTGCTTTTAAAGTAATTAAATAAACACTCAGTATATCAACTTTAACTCTTACTCTCGCTCTTACTTATCCTATTTTATTTAACTAGTTGGTTTAAGCTACGACGAATGTGAAATTTGGAGTGCTTATTTATCAGATCGTGGGTTTTTCGAGGGTTTTCTTTAAGAATATTAACGGAATATTATGATTTCCAAGTTTTAGATACCTATTCATATAAGTTGAACCATTTTTATTATACAGGGAATCCACCTTCTGTAAGCGGACGATAGAGCCTCAATGGTTGAGATTAATGATAACGGTTTGTTGGTACGAGAAGCCTGAGGGGAAGCCTAAAACCTATTTTTAGGTATATAGGGTGTTCTCGAGGGCAGCCTATACATTTTGATATTTTTTTATAGGTATCCCCGGGTATCCCTTAACAAAAGAATTATTTTTGTAGGTCTTATCGGTTTTTTTCGTAATGCTAACCGCGAGGCTAACCGTTTTCCGGATATGCTTTTTATATAGGGTGAAAATTTTATCTTCAAAACATTTTTTAAAGAAGCTTTTTATAACATCCATAATTATAAAAAGTTTGCTACCAATCCACGTACATTCAATTTGGGGTCAGTAGCATACTTCTGCACGGTCAAAGGGGGCATACTGTTTTTAAATAGCAACCACTATTTTCTTGACGTAGTGAATTATTTGTCGATACAAATTATACAATAAAAGTCGTTTTTCAAATAATTGAATTTTAATATTTCTTTAGCTAATCGACTTCGAATCGTATAGATCGATCCGTCATCAGACCTTAAGAGTCAGAATATTGTGCTGAATAATACAAATCCTTACATATTAACATTTGACGTGGACAAGTTACACATAAAAATCGAGTTGAGCTTACTTGTGATTCAAATTCGTAAAAAAATCACTTTTTTAAATTTATGCTAAATCCTTAAGTTTTAGAGATAAATGTTACATAGCAAAAAAGTTTCCTTCCCCCAAGAGGTTTCAATAAAAAAAAAGAAAATTAAAATCGGACTATTAGGAGCAGAGATACAAAAAAATATATTGCGGCTAATGGCGCTATTTTGACGGCCACCATTTTGGTTTCCTGCACGGATTTTCGAGTGGCTCCCTATCTCAAAAGTTGCCTTTTGGTATTAACGATTACCACAGAAAGTGGCATATTCCAATCAAAAAGTGCAGTTTTTTTTGGCGTACCCAACGTAGGTACTACATGATCTACTCGAGCGAGTAGATCACTCAGCGGTATAATCAACGGGGCTATCCGGGACTGCATCATAGGCACATGCACATAATGCACTCTAAAAGCCTAGGAATAATAATAATATAATAATAGGCATTTATTGAGCTAAACATGATATTAAGTACATATTCTAATTAATAGACAAAAAGCATGTTAGCTCAAAGGGGCTTTTAATACTCGACCACAAATGGCAGAATTGCATAATTTGGGTTTGTGCCAAACTTTAAGTGACTCATAAGCAGTTTCAAGTACTCCGCTGTCTATCCATAAGTAAGGTGTACATTGCTTTTTAAAAGATTTAAGAGAAGAAAACTTTGAATCAGTGAAAACGTTGTAATAGGAATTATAAATTTTTGAAGCATTATAAGTGAAACATCTTTGAAAAATACTGGTATTATGACTTGGTAAAAAAGTGAAGTTTTTTTTCTAATATTGACATTATCCATGTCCTTTCTAAATTTAATTTTGCTGTATAGGTAAGCTGGTGTTTTCGGGGAAATGATGTTGTATAAGACGCATGCTGCGTGTAACACTCTACGATTTGACATGTTAAGCCATTTAACCTCACTTAACTTATTACTAACATGATCATATCTTTTTAGACCAAAGATAAGCCTAAGACAAGAGTTTTGCATGCGTTGCACTCGTTTGACGTCACTTGCGTCAAGCATTACCTTTGACTTTTAGTCGAAATCGATCGCCGTCAGAAATAATAATAAAAACTGTTTGAGTCGCAATTTTACTTTTTACATTACCTTAATTGCGATTGAGGCTGTGCCTTAAATTAAAGATCATTTTTAGATTAAGGTAGGCTTTCCGAAGGAGTCCTGACACGTGACTTTTAAAACGAAATTGATTATCTACCACAACACCTAGATTTCTGACACTGTACTCTACTGGAAGCAAACTGTCCTTAATTTGTATTGCAACTTGCGAGATGTTATTGTTTCGGATTTTGTTTCCACCAAAATAACATGACACTGCACTTGTTAATATTAAGTATTAGACCGTGCATTTCAGAAGTGCCTACTAAACTTTGCAAATCAGAATTTATAAGGCTATTCGCATCCTCAATTTTATGAGCTGGAAACGTATAAAATAACTGCGTGTCATCCGCATACAGGTGATACATACAATGTTTAAGACAATCTTGTATTTTGCTGGTATAGATGATGTACAACAATGGTCCTAAGACAGATCCCTGTGGTACACCCGCCATAACAGAAAGAGAGGTAGACACATTTCCATCAAGCCTGGCACACTGAGTGCGGTTGGATATATAACTTTCAATCAGGTGCACAGCCGAAATGCTGAAACTATTGTAATTGAGGATGGATGTAAGCAATTTGTGAGAAATTCTATCGAATGCTTTTGAATAATCTAATATCAGCATAGTTAAGTAATTTTTGTCAATCGCAAATAAGATAGTATAGGTTACAAATGCAGGTGCCGTATTACAGCTATGCCCCGGACGAAAACCTGACTGCATCGGTGCGGTAACATTTGCTCACTGTTTAAGAAGTGTTGTATTTGTGAAGCAATGACCTTTTCAAGAACTTGTCAAAAGCAGGGAAGAATACTAATTGGCCGTAGGTCCGGATATCTGCCAGGGGTTTTACCATAGCCCAACAACAAAGCACGGTCAGCACGATGACCTGCATAATACACTTACCACCTACACGTGGGATTGGGGATTATGCTGATCGGTCTGTAATTATTAATCTCAGACTGATGACCTGACTTGAATACGGGACATATCCTAGCTATCTTCCATGCTGTTGGAAAGGTGGACGTATTGGTTGATAAATTAAACAGAATACAAAGAGGTATTCTGAACACCATGGCACAACCTGATCATGACCTGATGGGTATTTATTAGGTAATTTCTTAATAGCTGTATAGACCTCATCTGTAGTAATTCTAGTAATAATTGTAATATTGGGCATGTTGGTAACCTTTGGACTGTTATCATTTATCGTTTGTGACGGTAAATAAACACTTTTGAAATAATCTCCAAATGTGTTACCAATACGCTCTGGTGTACACATTGAAGTAGCACCCATAGACATTATTCTGTTAGGTATTCTTGTATTACCTCGTTTTGAGTTAATAAAAGACCAGAAATTCGTCACATTCTCAGTTATAGCATTTTCTGAAAATGTTATATAATCACTATAAGCATATACGAATTTTAGATTTTACTACTCTTCTAAGACGTTTAAATTCAAACAAGTCTGCACTATTATTAAACCGTTTAACTCTTTTAAAACACCGGTTTTTTAGTCTGATGTAGGTAATATATATAATTTCCGAAGAAAACCATTTTGGGTAATTACCTAGGTACGTTTTCTGCTGCTACAATGGGGAACATACATATCAAATATGGAATACAGCTCCAATGTTAACATTGTTGTATTGTTCAAAAAAGTCCCAATTGATGTTTAAAAGAGAACTGTACAAACCAATAAAGTTAGCTCTTTTAAAATTATAGTTTCTTTGAACTTTGTTTACATGGAAATTTGAGTTAGGTATCGCCTCCTGAAAGCATACCTCAATCGACAGCGCCGGGTGGTGAAGATCCTCTTTTACATATGGCATTTCCTCGTGAACAACTTCGCACGCTATGTTACTAATCATAATCACTAAATCAAGTATTCTCTTATATCATTCAAAACCGTATTAAACTGTCCCACGCACAGAATATTTATAAAATCATCATTAAGCGGGATTTCGTATCGTTAATAACCGTGAGAAACTTTGGTACATTGAAGTCTCCAAGTATTAGAACGTCATTAAACCATTTGTTCAAATATTTCCAAAAAAGACTGGAAGTCCGTTATCGGTGTATCTGGAGGTATATAAATCACAAAAATATGCACAGTTTGCACGTTGAATAATCATTTACAACCGCTAATGTCAATGTTTGGTAAGATGTTTTTTAAAACTGTTATGTCAATTGTATAGCAGCTAATATCACCCTTGAGAGCAAGTAAAGCACCTCCACCCCATATTTTTTGTCAACCACTGTAAAGTTTCGGTCAAAGCAAAAAACTTGATAGTTTGTTGGAAACGGTTCATCACTAGAAATGTCAGGAGAATTGTTTAATTATCTTTATTCCTGTATTTACATATCTAACTTAAATTGTCTAGCCTCATTCACGCTTCGATTATTACTACCCGCTCTACTTTCCTCAGTTGTTCCTCAATCAATCACCTGTCCCCCGCCTTAACATAAATTTACATATTCTACAGACTACAATAATTCTTATCTATCTTCCACTACAAGTTGGAACATTTGTAGATATGCTCTTAACAATTTCTACTACCTTGTTGGGATCAACCAGATTCATCAGATTCAGATGCCCTTTCAACATTAAATATGATTAAGTTAGAAGTTCTATTTTGTCTCTCTTATTGCTAATATTGTCTCAGATAGCTCAGCCACTGGTTGATGGCCTGCAGATGGTTGAGTTGCCTTGTTCTTCAGGTCGTCTATCTCAGCCCGCAATTGCAGAATTTTTTAATTCGCCTAACTCATCTGATTTATTCTTACACGCAGAACATGCGATTCTTATTCAATAAACATTGCAACTCACTACGTGATAAACCAGAGCATGTGGTAACTTACAAAAATCACATGAAAGTTCTTTATCGGGATTTAATAATTGTTGGACAGAAACACTACATTCACTCACTGGCATTTTAGGCTTCTTTCAAGTAAATTCAATTGATTCACTATGAACAAATGAGACACGTCCGCTCTGTTTAACGTCTAACCACTAATCGTTCATTGTTTACATTCGTCATGTTTTGTTTTCAACTACTGTTTTGAAAATTGAATAATCTCATTTATAAAAGGAAAAATTCTCAATGGAAAAATATCAAATTACATTAATTTGACATTATTCTCATTGGAAAAATATCAAATTACAATAATTTGATGGCCATAAGAAAAACATAACACAGGGGACACATAGTAAGTAAAAATTGTTTGTAAATTTTTGTAAAACCCATTATGTGCCCTGCAACAAATTTTTCGTTTTTAAATTCTGCTTCTGCGATTTATGATCGCCATAGGCGGTACAAGCTGTAAAATGAAAGATCACAAACAATGTACCTACTTGCAGTTTGTATAATATCAACAATTACCATACTTCTGTTATGTTTTTGTGAAACAATTTTGAATTATGGGTACTGTAACTGTTATGACCGTGTTCGTTAGAGCGTTACTCTGCAGTAGTAGAGAAATTTGAGGCTAAACGCTAAAAATGGCTAAACCTTACGTAACGAGACTGCTGCTACAAATCGGTTGCAGTCGGATGAATTGTGAATAGGTTTACAGAAAATAACCGAAATATGGGTTTTGGAAAATGACTGTGCCGGCCCTGACAGTATAGGTAAATAAATGTTGAAGCGTACAACTTATATTAATCAATTTGACGAATTGGATATGAATATGCTGTTTCGTTGCAGCATTATTTACTCTTTATACAACCCTTCGTACTCGTACTAACCTGTTTCGCCCATCCCGAGTTCCCGCCGTGCATCAAATCACCCACGACTTGCAAGTTGATGAATTACACGACCACAACTGTACAATCACCGTCTACGTCGAAAAAACTTCGGTAATTGGCTTCGTTTCGGAATGGATTAATACCTATACATTTATCTCACGTAAGTAATAGATGAAAATCTCCCCCTGCTGCTGCTGTTGGATGCATACATTTTTCTCTTTGCACGTTTTAACCTTTTCAAGCTTACACAGAGGCTTATTAATTCGTATTATTTTTGCAGAAAATCAAGAGCGCCTATATTTGTACCTGATTCTTAGTGTAACGGCGGCTGTAGTGCTATGTTTAATTCTCCTCGTCGGTAGGCTATTAGTACAACGGCAGCATGCAAGACGAGAAGCCAAATTTCACGCAAACGCCGCAGCTGACCATTCGTTACCAAATTGTTTTACTGACGATATTAGTGAAATAGACGTGGACATTGATTTGCCTCCCACTAATCCAGTACCCGTACCAAATGTTGCAGTTCATACATCCACCCCAATGGAAACTGTTGCCGAAGTCGTTAGATATCCACACATATACACTCACACGTTGCGGAGGCAACCTGAGACTGACGCTCCACGTAGCCTCAGCAGTACCTCAAACACTCAATATTACTACGAGTGACTAGAATGCCTGGACCGCAGATCGGTTGCTCAAACCTTGCTACCTACTTCTGCGTGCCCAGGCCATCGTACTTATTGTTTTTAGAGACACTTGGTGCCAGAAATAGTGAACCAGACCAAAGATTCAAATCTCCAAATCTTTTGTAAGAATCCTTTATTAATGTTATTATTAATGTATTGATCCTATGTAATAATTAACTTTTTTTTATAACAACAAAATGATCAAATTAAATTACACCTCTCTGTAGTTATTTAGTAGATATGGAAATATACCTTTATGTTGATTCATAATGTTAATATTTATAAATTATTAAATTAAATTATTTAAATGGAAGAGTTTGAGATCAGGGTAAACAATAGTACCACCCTCATTACTAATTAGCAACAACCAGAACACAATTAGGTAGTATAGAGGCATGCTCATCTTTGTACATATTATCTTACAATGGCAGAAGCATGAAAAAATTTTTTTTTTGAGTTGAGTTAAAGAAATTTGAAGAGTTTGTTTCTGATTATTTTTATAACATATGAGTATAATTACATTCTGGTGCAGATAATGGAGCGAAGAAGGTAAGTACATAGTAGTGGAGTTATGTGAAGAATTTCGTTCGACGATTTTACCTAAAAATAATAACCGACCCTTTTTTATTGAAATTCTTGTGTGTGTTTTATTTTTTTTAGTATCTGATTGGCGTGCCATATACATTATAAAAGTTCAATCCCCTAATGAAATACGTAAACGAGGTGGATTTGATGCGTATGTGCTTTTAACGTACTGTTTATTTTATGTTATATTTGTTAATTCTATAATGCTTTGACGTACGTGGTAAATTTAAAAGGATACATTGGGGAATTTGCTTCATTTAGAAAAAAAAAGTTTATTTCTATTATACAAATGGATTTTTGTGTTTATCTATAAGTGTAATGTTTGGTCTATTATTGTGGATAGTTTTGTCTTTGAGTAGTATCCAATCCCAATATAATTTATGTGTGTTGTTTTCAAGTATTATCTGTGTAGTGTATTTGTAGTATAGTATCTGTTTTGAGATTATGTTAAGAGCTAATTTTTGATGTATGATTTTAACTACCTGATCGTGTCGATGTTTGCATTCTGTTTGTGGATGGAAGACGTGTGTATGCTGATATTATATGTTGGATTGTTTGTGAACAGAGTCGACAAGAATCGTGTGTCAGTGTTTCGTCTTTAAGTATCCATTTTTTTATAGTTGCGTATGTTAACGACCTGGTTTTGTATTGCCAACACGAAACCTTCAGCCTCTGGGAAGATATCACATTCAGATAAACAAGTGTGCGTTGCTATAGAATCAACAAAATCCTGGTTAACCTCTTGTGGAAATTGTCCATGTAAAGGCTTTTGGTCCATGTCTCTATGTAATTTACGTTATATGTTATATTATGTGATGTACGTAAGTTTGGATGTGGGTGGGAGTATATTAGTGCCATGTAAGTGAACATAACAATAGGCGTCTCTGAAAATTTAAGATAAATTAGCGAATATGAGTCTAATGTGACATCAGCAAGTTGTTTTCTTCTTCTTGCAATACCGAAAGTCTGTCGCAAAATGTGCAAAATATGGTGAAACCATAGACCATATAACAAAGGTCTATGCTGAAACTAAACGAAGCTCAAACGTTAAGCGTCCTATCACACAGTCAAAGTGACATTAATTATACCGTTTTGTCACTATAACCACAAAGAAAAATTGTCAAACCCAAGGTCAAACCAGAGATGGGAGCGCACAAACACGTCTACACGTCAACGATATTACGATGTGAGTGAGATGCATATGGTACGTCTGAAAATTACTATATCAAAGGCTCGCTAATGTAGTCGGCTTCTTAAATTGCAAAGCGGCATAAATATGTGTTTCACTTGTGTTAATTTCGTTATGGAAACATGTGATGCTGATTTGGAAGCAAAACTCGACTGGAAAACCAGCAAAGTACGAAGTCTCTACGAAGACGATAAGATTGGACATGCAGTTCCAATCAAAAATACCCATCAGTGTCATTTTAAGTAAATGAGGGCAATGGATATAGTCCACTTCCGAGTCAAATAAAATCAGTTTCTGTAGTTGAGAAAGGGGTAAAAATAGTACCTAGTAGGTAAGAAATGGATATCATTTTCCATCGAATTATATCGTATCACGGAGCAATTCCTTTTAAAATACGTTATTAAACATTGTGATGGAGAAACGCATCATTTGATTCTGAAAATTAAACAAAACCTTCGCGTTTATTATATAGGGTGGCAATATGAAACACACGATCAAAGAACGTTTACCGGTTTACAGCACCATATCCTTAAATTAAGTTCGTTTTAGATATCACCATGACAGCGCAACGGAAACGAGTGGGGGTGATATATCCTAGACGATATGGTTCGAAATCAGAAATAGTAGCTATCCGAGCATTTAAAAGAAAGTCTGAAAATGTGGAATTATGTGATTAATTTTTGCTTAATATCTATCAACATTTTAAACGTAAGTACGTGAAAAAAAAGTAAAAATTTTGCTTTACAATTCGATATCCGTTTATTTTACGAAATTTATAAATTAAGAACGGTATACCATTTTGATTTCTGTTTTACGGAAGCTTCCAGGATACTACTTCTAGGATTACCTATATCAGGACTCATAATTTCTTAACGAACTGATATGCCACCTATATTTAATAAAATTGGTTGCTCTTTACAAATCACCCAAATCATGTGAAGTATGCGTAACGATTTCCAGAAATGTTGATTCTGTCGAATACATAATTCGTATAGTACGGTATAATTAAAAACGATTGTAGGATGATTCGCCCCCGAAAATTCGCCCCGGTAAATTCGCCCCTGAAAATTCGCCCCCGGAATATTCGCCCCCAAGTAAATTCGCCCCCGGACTATTCGCCTCCGTAAGATTCGCCCCAGAAAGATTCGCCCCGGAAAATTCGCCCCCAAGAAAACTCGCCCCCAAGTAAATTCGCCCCCGTAAGATTCGCCCCAGAAAGATTCGCCTCCGGCAAGTTCGCCCCCGACAATATGCTCCTGGAAGATTCGACCCCGGCGATTCCGCTCCCGTAGGATTCGCCTCATAAGATTTATTAATCCTCGGAGGTAACAGGGCCAGCAGTTCATAAAATGAATTTTGTTTAATTTTAATTTTTTTTGTAATAACTGTGTACCTATACCTACATAAAGGGGGTAGAATAATAGCACTCCACTCAAATACCTGTTAACTAAAATACGAATAGGTAATTATAATTAAGATAAGGTTGAATAAAGTAAGGGAGATTTGCAAAGGATTTGACATCCAAAGGAAATAAATCCTGTATTCACCATGACATTTTTTCAGACATGACATATGGAAAATCTACCTTAACTCTTGTATTACAAAAGGACATTTTGATTGACTGAGTTGTTAGCTTCTTAATTTCTTCCCAACAGAACGTTTGATGGCTTGTTTGGTCATTGGTGGTGTATTTGTTTTGAAACTTTTTATGTTCCTATTTGTTATATTTTGGCTCTTCTGGCATCAGTAATAAAAACGTGTCTGTATTGTCATTTTTATACATAATAGTAGGACACAAAGTATACAGGGTGGTGACTTGCGTAACGCATCATAGGGATTTCAATGTAAAATTCATAACATGCGATTATTGGCTCCCCAAATTATTTTAGAGCAAAAATGTATTAAGGTTTTTTGTAGAAAAAATAGTATATTTCATTAGGAGTCCGGAAAGCAGGCTTTTTCCGTGCGCGCGTGGATTTCTGGACGTGTGTCGTGTAATGAACGATATTTTTTATTATACTTCTTTTAAATCGATAACATAAAAAACAACAAACTCGCTAACATTTTTATTTTGTAACAGTTATAGAACATGCGTTTTCATGGTTACTCTCAAATCATGTCAAAGGCGATTTGTTTAATTAGTTTATTTCAGATAAGGTTGACGAAACGTCAAAAAATGTCACAAATTCTCAAAGAAGTTTATCTAAATATTCAAACATCTACGAATTAAAACGCAAAATACTTACATAAGAAACATTACAACGCATATAGATTTTCTGAAAATTAGTTTACTTCCCTGTAAATTTGTATTTTAAAGCAATATTTTGGGTATTTATATTCAGCGCACGGAAAGAATCAAAGGGATCGGGAATAGTATATTGAAAGACAAGTGTTACAATGCGACCTATTGTAATACGACTATCTTGTGGCACGAGTGGCGACGCGAAGCGTAGCCACGAGTGTCCGCAAGATAGGAGTATTACAATAAAGCATTGTAACACGCGTTTTTCATACTATTTTTTCTATTTCGGTGCTTTAATTTAATTAAAAAAATCATTATCAGAAACTATAGGGAACATTAGAACTAACATGTTTTATGTTGGGAACACTTTTTATGCCGTTAAGTTTTAGGTTCGCAGCGTAGTAAGACTGACATTTTGAAGTTCAAACATGGAAGTACCCAACGAAGTACCTACTTGTACTAACTAGTAACTGCCAACTTAAGAGATGAGTTACCAAAAAAACCGACTATAATCACTGTCTTTGTACAACTGTTTTCGGCCGAAAACAGTTGTACAAAATCATCATTGTGACACCGAAATAGAAAAAATCCATTTCGAACTGCTGCTAATTGATAACTGGATATATTTTTGTTTTATAGACTTCCATGGCATCGCAGATTATTGAAAAAGGTGCTGGTTTTATTTTTCCAATTTTCCGTCTTTATATGAAAAAAATTGAAAACTAATACGGTTGAATGGGGTAAAAACAATTTTTCTACAAAAAACTATTACATTTTTACTTTAAAATAATTTGGGGAGCCAATAATCGCATGTTATGAATTTTACATTGAAATCCTTATGATCCGTTACCCACCCTGTATACTAAATTAAATTCATTGTCTTTTTAAGGTCTAAATTTTTGGTAAACGGTCATCGTTCAACATTTTTTGATCTCAAGCAGACCGTAGCAGACTAATATGCTACTTAACTAACAAATATATAAAGCAAACTTTTTTTATATTTTAAAGAACTGTGATGTTTCAAGTTAGATTTTTTTAGACTATTTTAATTATGATTTGATACTTCAGGAAATTTTATCAATGTTGGTGTTTTTAAACGCAAAATTACATCAAATCTGGATCAATTTTCAAATGTAAGTCTAAATAAAGAATCATCCTTTGTTTATACATTGATGCCAAATACATTTCAATACATCTATAAATAGTTCATAAATATTTCAATACATCCATAAGTAATTAAACTCCTTTGTAAACGCATTTTGGTGTAAAATGTATTGTAAACATACGGTTGATGTTGAACCGTTGAATCAGCCTTTTACAGGTAAGAGACGATTGAATATGAACAATTTCGAGTTATCAGTGTCGCCGTATTGAGTTCCAAATATCATAATTTTTGCAAACATTTATTTAATTAATTTAAACCAAACCTATTACTTCCGAGGGTTATGGGGCGAATGCTACGGGGGCGAATTTGTTGGGGCGAATATTCCGGGGGCGAATTTGTCGGGGCGAATATTCCGGGGGCGAATTTGTTGGGGGCGAATACTCCGGGGGCGAATATTCCGGGGGCGAATTTGCTTGGGGGCGAATATTTCGGGGGCGAATTTATTTTGGGGCGAATATTCCGGGGGCGAATTTTCGGGGGCGAATTTACCGGGGCGAGTCTTCCGGGGCGAATTTACCGCACACCATTAAAAACACATGTATAATAGTTGTATATCATTGCTTACCGTTTATTAAATCGTGGAAAATAACATAACCTCTTAAGAAATTAAAGTTGGCACTCCGGTATTTTATTAACATCACTACCAACTGAAAAACAATTCGAAGCAGAACGAATACTTTTTCCCATGCAAGGTAGAAAGAAGGTAAAAAAATCCCTATGTTAGATATTGTTACGTATGATCCAGTGGTGTATAATATATATAAAGTCATAAATAACCCTTCACACGGAATAATTTTGCTCCACTCGCTCGCAAGCTCGCTCGTGTCGCAAACGTAAACTTTCTGAATAATAAACGGCGTAACATGCTTGTAATAATCACGGGCGATGTGCGAGAATTTTCAATTCGAATTAACAAAAACCCTGCGCACTGTGAAGTAAGTACCGTAACGACAGTATCCGCGAATTTTCTTGAATCTACCGATTGCAGTCGAGTACGGTACAATCAAGACTAGACGCGACACCACTGTCTTTTTTTTACGCGGCAAACCTGGTAAATTCATACCCATACAAAACATAAGCATTTCCAATGCTAAAAATTTTGAACCACCATCTCTGAGATTTAAACAATGTTGGTATTTTTTAAACGAAACTCCGTGTATACATATCTTAAAATCAATTTTTGTGATTTCTTTTTCCCGCTTATATTGCCATCGAACCCAATACGACATTATCTTGTCACGACTTCAACTTATTCTTCAGCACAGTCACGGACAGTGTCTTAAATCGTCTACGAAAAAGTGATAATGAACCCATAAGTTGATACACGTGACGCCATAAAAAGTTTAAGAAACAACAAATCCAGAGTTATCCATGGTTTAAGTATTACTTTGATCAAACGTAATGTTGTTAGTGCGTTTATAGAGCCCATAACCAAATTGGCAAATATGATAATCAAAACGGGTATTTTTCCCGATACCTTGAAAATTGCTCTAGTTATTCCTCGCTTAAAAAAAGGCTTAGATGCGCAGGAAATCAACAATTACAGACCGATCTCTAATCTACCGGTGCTTAGTAAAGTAATTGAAAAAATTCTTTATAAATAATTGGTCATTTTGAAAACTACAACATTTGCTATCGACACCAATATGGTTTCCGTAAAAATAGATCAACTTCTGACTCAATTAACAACTTAGTGTCAAAAGCGTTACAGAGTTTTGAGAATAAATAATACACGGTTGCCGCGTTTGTCGATTTGTCCAAAGCTTTCGATTGTGTAGACCACGACATTTTAATACGGAAGCTTGGGCACATTTATAGACTTTGCATTCGGAGCAATTCTTTAGTTATATCTTTTGTAACTGACAGATATCAATGTGTCAATTATAATAATTCAGTGTCCAACAAATTGCCGATAAAGCGTGGTGTACCGCAAAGGTCTATTCTTGGTCCCCTGCTATTCTTAACTTACATTAATGATCTCCCTGCATGTCTACCCGATAATGTACACTGTATACTGTACGCCGATGATGCAACGATAATTTATACCGATCAGAACTCTAAAAATGCATACTCCACCATTCAAGAGTGCATCAATATTATTGACGTATGGTGTGCCAATAACACCCTAAAACTAAATCATGGTAAGACTAATGTCTTGCCATTATCATGGAGGAAAAATATTCCCAATGGTGAACTACAAATTAGTTTCCTAGGTTGCGTTATCGATGCTAAACTAGATTTCAACCATCAGTGTAGTAGTCTAACAAAAAAGTTGCACAGGTCAATATTTCCATTAAATCGACTACGAAGCAATACTTCCCTAAATACAATTCGATCTGCTTACTACGCTTTTATTCAAAACATCATTTTGTACGCAATCCTTGCTTGGGGCCACAGTTCCCACTGGCGGTGTATTTTTAGATTACAACGCAGAGCTGTTCGCGTAATAGGAGGCATTGGATATAGAGAAGACTGCCAAAAAACGTTTGTTAAACTACAAATTCTGACTGTCCGGTGCATTTATATTTTAGAAGCCGTATGTTATGCTATATGTTATACTAAACCAAAACTAAACGTAATAAATCTCAGAATACACTGCATCATGAAATACACAAACATGACACTAGGAACAAAAATAACATACGCGCTGAATTTTGTAGGCTACGCAAATCGCAAGATGGTATTCTGTACCAGTACCAGTCGGAATTTTTATGCAACTGTTTGCCCCACACATAAAACAATTACCGTTGCCCAAGTTTAAAAACAAAATTAAGACTTTTTTTATTGTCGAAAGCTTTTTATGCGTTTGATGAGTTTGTGAATAACTGTAAATGTATTTAGTTTTTTTGTTCTATGAATGTAAACTTAAATGTTTTGTGTTAGTTAGTACAACAAAGTGTAAGTGTAAACCTAGGTGTAAACACACAGTAGCACAATATATCATATTATTATTATAGTCGGTGTTTCTTGTAAGAACTCAGTTCTAGCCTGGTGTAGCAATTTTATTAAATGGAGTTTATTGTGTAAGTGTGTGTTTCTTTGGCTTTGCGTTTGGGTTGAATACGAGTGGGTTGTGAGAACGTGGTGTGTTGATGAGAAGAAAGAGTATTGTGTTTTTTAGCTGTGCTAGGCCGTGTAACTTTATTGGGTGGGCCTGTCTTTGTAGTGCATGTAAGCGGATTTGGTGCATATTACAAAATTAAATAAGATTAAAATTTTAAAATTAGTACATGGTGTAAACTGTGATAATAATGATCTGTTAGTATTTACACATACACTGACACCTTTAGGGTTTTATAAACATTACATTGTAAGGGATCACTACGATGATCTTATGCATAGAGAGTACATTAATCATAATCACCTTACCCGGAAACGTTCCTATATACTGCCACCCTTTTATAATAAATAAGGAACTCGAACTTTAAATTATATTGTACCTAAACTGTATAATGAATTGGGCATTGTTTATGTGGACAGTAAAGTCAGTTTTTGCAAACAAATTGAAGGGTATTATAGCTAAAACTTAGTATCAATATTTTTGTGTTATGTATATTTCAAAAGAACTGGTAATTTGTTTTTGTTCATTTTTATTTATATACTTTTGTCATGGTTGACTACCCCCCCCCCTCCCCCCGCAGCGTACGCACTTTATTTATTAATGATTTTTGTTTTTTTAACTATCGTTTAAAATGTCATATCGGTACCCACCGATAAGTCGTTGCCTTGGTGGGGTCATCAATTATGTTTTGTTAACGATCCTCGAAATCATTTATAATTTTGTATTGCTATCTGTTTGTCCGTCTGCCTGCCGGTCCGTCTGTCTGTCCGGCCGCCTGTCTGTCCGCCTGTCTGTCTCTCTGCTTGTCCGTCTGTCCGTCCGTCTGCCCGTCCGACTGTCTGATCGACCGTCCGTCCGTCCGTCTGTCCACACGTCTGTCTGCCCGTCTCTCCGTCTGTCTGCCCGTTTGTCTGTCCGTCTGTCTGTCCGTCGGTCTGTCCGTCTGTCTTTCCGTTCGTATACCTGTCTGTCCGTCTCCCGTCTGTCTGTTCGTCTATCTGTCCGTCTGTCTATCCATCTGTCTGTCCGTGTGCACGATAACTTTGTGTAGATACGTCCGATCGCTTTGAAAACATTGATACACATGTTCTTCAAGATATAAGATAGGTCGCTATTGTTTTTCGGCTACGTAGACTAACGGGCCAAAAAGTTATAGCCCAAAAACTGCCCAAACCTCTAAAATCCTCAAAGAACATATGAATGTCCGGTGTTCTGTGTTAGTAAATATTCCTTAAACCTTAGCTAACTATGCAGATTAAAAAAATTGCGCATACGCAACCCAACTGTTGTATTTGTGCAATCCCAATTTTTTTATCTGTTAAGATATTTAAATTAAATTTTGTACGTTGGCACCTCAAATAAAAGTAAAACTGATGACGCTAAAAAAATTGTTTTGCGCATGCGCAATCCAACAACATTCGATATAGGATACTGGTAAATTTACAAACCAAAAGATACAAAGGGAATTGCGTCGCGTGGGCCAAAACACTTCTTTGTGTTTAAACCAGAGATTGTAGACTTTCAACATGTAGGTACTAATTTAAATGCTTTTACAGGCGAAAGCGCTTTGGAATGTGGAAGACTCGTGCCCCTTAGTGTGCACATGCCAATTGGAGCATTTAAAAGAAACCGCAATTCATCGCTTTGTTAAAAAACACGGAGAACGAGATCCAGCTTCAGAAATAGAATTTCGTACAACCAATGAGGTAAAGTGCGCCATAATTTTGTCTTATAATTTAAGTTGCTTTCTTCAGGTTTTCTACGAAGATGAGTTTGAAGATTCCTCCGATAATAATCCAGTGCTTCGGGCAGCTACGTGTATTTTACAGACGGAGACTGATACCATAGACCTGATTAACTTGTTACCTAAGAACATAGAGGCGCTAACTTTAATTCAGGGAGCACAATCTGGAAATAAGTCTTTAAACTTTACGACCTTGCAGAATTTGCCAAATTTACAGATCGCCGAGCTATACGGTTCTAATGAGCCAAGTGGGAGGGGGAAAGAGAACGTATTTAATTGTTTCATTGATACCGCATTGCCGAACCTAAGGTACTTAAATTTGGATAGAGTGTCGATTAAAGTGAAGAAAGAGTTGCTAATTAAACATGACTATGAGGAAGGCGAACAGATGAAACTCGAAAATCCAAAATCGCGACCATTTGCATTACTCCAACGTGCCAAGAAAGAAATTTTGCCCTATAATACGTTCCTACAGCAGGCAGAAACGAAGAACGTGCCCTCCTTTACAAATTTCGATAATCTAATTTTGCTACGAGTCAGCAGTTGCGAGTTCCGAAATGTCGATTGGGATGTGTTCGACGGCTTACAGAATCTGCACCACTTAATATTAGAAAGAAATAATTTGTCAGTAATTACCGGTTTCGCATTTTATGGTCTACCGCGCCTTAAGAGTTTATCACTAGCGAGAAACAATTTGTCTACCATTCAGGTCACGGATTTGGCAGGACTACTCGAACTGGAATACTTGGATCTATCTTATAATAATTTCCAGTTACTATCAGAATTATCATTCCCGCCCTTCCCCAGTTTAAAATTTGCAAATTTCGGCAACAACCCCATTAATTTGGTATTACCGGGCACTTTTGAGGTGATGAATACTACCGTTTCGCTAACACTGGGAGGAAAAAACGCCAAATTGACAATCGCTCAAAATTCTTTTTCAGGGTTGAAAATGCTTCAAAAACTAATACTAACAAACCTCGATTTGATAGTGCTAACAAGAGAATTGCTCTATGGCATGCCTAATCTTACAGAACTTGTAATGTCGGGAAACATAGACCAAATTGAATTTGATGCTTTTGTAGATGTCGAAAAGTTAAAAAAGTTGGTGATATCGGGAAGTCATCTTCAACAACTGTCTATGGATGCATTCAGTGGACTGACTAAACTGCAGATTCTCGATTTGTCCTACAACAGATTGGTGTATTTGCCGCCGGGAACATTTGATCCGCTTAAAAGTCTTAAAGAATTGTACCTCCAGAAAAACAAGTTGATGCATTTACCTCAGAGTATCTTTTCTCAGATTAATCCTAAGTTAATTCGGCTAAACGAGAACCCGTGGACCTGCTCGTGCAAAATGAGCGAATGGAAACCGATGGTCGTGAACAGAATTAAACAAAGAATTGGAAGACATTGCGATGTTAGTGATGATAAAGACGCTGGATGTGACTTTGAGCCAGTGTATAACATAAAGTACACTTTCGACACTCGGGTGACCCCAAAATGTAACAGTCCCAAAAAATTTATGAATTGGAACGTCTTCCATGTATTGCGCAAGCAATTACGCTGCGCCAATTATAAGCCAAAATACCGCAAGAAGAATCAGAAGCAAGAGATTACCGAAATGGAAACCACACAAAGTGTTAACGAAGCTAATTTATATATGACGAAAGTAGAAAAATTTAAGAAAAAAATCAAATACCATCCCGAAACCCAGGAGATGCTTAGCAATTACGTCAAATCGGACAACGCGCAAGATATGCCGATAAAGATTTCCTTGTTTTCTTCTATGACAAAGAATGACGAAGGCAATGACCTAACTTTCATGGACACCAACTTTCTACCCCCGTTCAACTTAAAACTGCATCAAGACGAATACTACAAGAAAAACAAAACTAACCAAGTAAAAGGACATAGGAAACAAAAAAAGGTGTCAAAATTACAATCTAAAGATGTTAGTGACGTGAAGATTTTGAATTAAGTGAACTATTCCTGTCTTTCATATTATTTAACGGACTGTACGATGTTTATATTTTTGTATTAATAAATAACTAAT